ATTAACTTTACTTTACGCTTTTATTTTCATGCTTTATGTACCATTTACTTTTAGCATTTTACATTTCATGCTATTTTCATCTTTGCTCACTTGAGCATTTACTTTTATGTCATTTTTATTTTGCTCACTTGAGCTTTTCTTTCCTTTTTAAAGACACCTAATAATCAACATGAACCATAAAAATCATTAATGATACTTGGACTACATGGTTACTATCCTTTGCATTATGGAGTGATGGACTTCTTGGACTTAGGATTAGATACCTTGGCCTATCTTGGAGACTTTGTGACTTTATTTGATATTTTGTCTGGAGTTCTTGAGGTTTACCTCAAGACATTGGGTTGTTTGTTTGTTTTGTGTGCAGGTTATTGAGATTACGATCTTTGTTTGTAATCTGGAATTCACCCGTATACAGCCGTTACTCTGCCCAATTTTTGCGAAGACTTAAAACACTTGAAGTTTGGTTCTCTCAAGAGGTCTAGTATCTTTGCTTGCTTGGTTTCAATCCGAAGAATGGGAATTCTACATTGGCTTATAATGTCAAGTATCGGCTTCATGTTGGTTAGACGGTTCTCTTCCTTAGCTTTTACCTTATGCTTTAGGATAGTCCCTTCATCTCCTCCCATCTTCTTTAATTTTAAAAACCTTCTCATCTTCTTTCAAAATCTTCTTTGTTTTTAAACTCAAACCGCTTTCATAATAAACCTCGACTTTTTTCGAGTGCCTTTTCTTTCAAAACTTCTTTTTTTTAAACAAACTTCAATACATTTAATCATACTTTGACATCTTTCAAAATTAACAAAAACACTTCAACTCATTCAAACTCTTTTGTGCGCTCGAGCACCTTTACCCTTCAAACCCCTTTTTTACAAGGTGAGACATGATTCATTGATAGTAGAGCAACATTCTCCTATCCCTATGGTTATAAAGGTGTCTACTTTTCCACTTGAGTACCAGAGGCGTTCTCAAACCCTCACTCTTGTTGATGCAGGGTCCATCTTTCTCACACCTTGTGGGCGTTAGTCGAGATTTCTCTCCTAACAATGACGACTTGTCTCCTTGTTTAAAAACAACCAACATACAAGTCTTTTCTAGAGGAACTATGTGTACCCTGATCCCCTATTGCACGAAAGGTGGTACATAGGCACTAAAGGTTCGCAACTGCGGCGGGTTCAAAAATCATAAAAATATTTCTTTTCTCGCCTCCACCATCCATTTTATATACAACACATTTTTATAGCCAAAATATACAAATTTTACAAAGAGGTTCCTGCAGAGTACCGTAGATGTTTAGGGTGCTAATACCTTCCCTTTGCATAACCAACCCCCTTACCTTGAATCTTTCCCACTCTTTTTGGGTTATTCGCTCTTTTCCCATTCCTTTGGAAACAATAAAGCACGGTGGCGATTTTTATTTTGATTTGTAAAGTCTAGTCAATCCAATGGCTTAGTCTTGAACATTTCTACCACTACATTAGCAATATGAGTAACGTGTGCCACAGGAGGGGTAGAAACCATAACTTGTTGAACATGTCGAGCAACTTGAGTGGTAGGGTTATATCCTTCTAGCATATAACCTTCAGGCATTTCCCATGGATAACCAGGGGTATTATTTGGAGTAATTGAGACGGGAACTGTCGTAACCTCAGAAATAACCGTTGTTTGTTTTGGTTGCATAACATGAGGAGGTGGAAGTAGTGGTGGCTGATTCTGAGCAGCCACTAATGACTCTACCAAAGCAGTCAGGTTTTTCATTATGGTCCTTAAAGCGGTAACCTTTTTGTGCAGTTCACGATTCTCCTGTTCGAGATTTTCCATCTTCTTCTTAAAGTTGGCTCGAGTGTTGTACCAGTGAGACAACTTGCTTCTGAAGACCAAAGGACCTTGAGTAAGGCTTATGGGAAACTCATGAAATGCTTAATTAAATGCAACATGATGCATGACATGCAATACAAATGTCATGTTCTCGTTTCCAAGAGTTTATATGCTTTGATTCCTATTATTAAGTCATGGTATTTTTCTTAACAATGTTCATTTTTTAGCGACTTAACAATTGGAATCAAAGAAATGATGTTTGGAAACGAAGAAACATACATGCTAATAATTACATTAACATGTTATGTATGAAAACATGTGGGATCAAAGCTTTCGCAATGCTGGATAGTTGTTGAACTGATAACAGAACCACAGTCACATGTAATCAGATCGAAGGTTCGGACCAATTCATAAAGAACCAAAATCGCCAATAGAACATATAGTCACCATCTGTACCTATAAAGATTATTCCCTCCCCACTCACGGGTCAAGACTAGGTTAGGGTATAGGTCAATGGTAACTCAAAATCACGGGTTCGCCTGAAAGTAAAATCATCACAACACAGACGTTTATGATGAAGATACCTTCATTTGAACCTCATTTAAGCATGGTATATGACATGACTGCACTAATCGGATCACGTCCTATAGCCGTAATGTCCCCACTCTATTCCTAGTTTTCCTAGATAGTGCACTCTGGCCTGGGTACTAGGCCTTTTACCTCCATAGTAACACCACCCATCAAGAAACATAGAATCCAGCACATCAGAAATAACCAGTATATGGAAAGCGATAAAATGCAATGCATACATATGCTCAAATATATACAAATGAATAAGCTATAAAGCATAAAGATAAACACCCAAAGAAATGAAAAAACATGAGCTAGGAGTGACTCACGGGATGGACCAGCAATTGGTCAACATTCTCTAGTGAAGTCGCCATTTTTCTGTAGCGGTAAAATAAATGAAGTCGCCACCGAGTATTTATTTATCCCATATAAAAGGAAAGCAAAATCATCGAAGAAAAACCTGAAGCGCGAAATCAAGGTCTTGCAACCGAGAGATTGGGTACGGGAGTCGATTACGCGAGGGGAAGGTGTTAGAACCCCCCACGTTTGTAGTACTCTATGGGATGCACTCTTTTTGTTCTAATTAAATGGTGTGTTCAATCTAATGCTTAAGAGCTAAAATAAAAAATGCTAAGAGGGAATACATGCAAAGAAAACACAGGGAAAATAATGAAATATTTACAAATTTTCGCTCGGTTGAGCCCTGTGACCAGATGCTCACGTATCTCTTTTAAGAAATCAGAGCGTCGTAGTTCGGCTCACAAATTTCTATTTGTTTGTATTTTTTAAATGAACGATGTTAAATTCAATCATTCCACTACTGCTCGACCATTGGAGACTCACGCACTGTAGTGGAAAGGAATCAACACGTTCTTAGAAGAGAAAAGTTGAATGGCGAAAAAATGAATTGGTTGGTATTTTTTACTATGAAAAGGACTTTTGTATGTTTAGCATGCTTTATCCATTTTCCAAGAAAAAGAAGTTTTAGTTTTAAATGCAATTATGAAAAATGGGAAGAAAACATCTAAGGGAGACTAACCTATCTCTAACCTAGTGTTATCATACAATGATGGCCATATGTCAAGGATGGAAAGGGAAATATCTACCCTATGTTAGCATGCATGGATAAGTATCCTAATGTCTAGCTCTAAAGCTATCCTAATCGAGAAATCCAAAGGGAACATGCAAAGATCGAAGTCGTTATCTCAATTCTAATTGAGTGACATCATCGATCATCAACAAAAGAAAGTAAAAATTCTAAGGGGAGCATGCAAAAGATCGAAGTCGTTATATCAATTCTAATTGAGTGACATCATCGATCATCAACAAAGGAAATTAAAAATCCTAAGGGGAGCATGCAAAAGATCTAAGTCGTTATTTTAATTCTAATTGAGTGACATCATCAATCATCAACAAAGGAAAGTAAAAATCCTAAGGGGAGCATGCAAAAGATCGAAGTCGTTATCTCAATTCTAATTGAGTGAAATCATCGATCTTCAACCCATGATAACAAACACAAACAAAATTAGAAAACAAGTGCAGAATGCCTGCTAAAGGTCTTTAAACAATGACTTCGAGTGCACGCTCTTTATTTCTTACTTCTCATGATATCTAGAAAGCAATAAAATGCGGAAAGATAATTTGGAAGCAGCATAATACCAAACGAACAACAATATCCGCAAAAGCGCAACCAAAACAAAGAAACCCAAAATTCTTCATGCGAGATGGCATCAATAAACAAACAGTCAGAGATTGGATGCTCATAATAAGTGTCGAAGCATCATCAATGTGAAAATAAATCATAATCGAAAACTCAAGCATGTCCACATATCCCACACTAAACCTGCATAAAACTCAAATCTCGACAAGCGAAAGTGACACATGAAGTCTTGGAAACAAAGTGATTATTTAAACATAAACTATAATTGAAAATTCTAACAAAAATTCTAAAATAAAAAAATCTAGAGAAAATTCTATTATGTTCTAATATTTTTAATTGTTTTTGGTGATACACTCTATTACAATTTTTTTATTAAAATAAAATTGAACAAGAAAGAAAATAAAAATAAAAAGAAAATAGAGAGAGTGAGAGGGTTTGGAATGGAAACCAGAGGGGTCAGTTTTAATGAATATGGCACTAAGCCCACCCATGCAGAAGGTTTTTTTGTTATGTCAATAGCTCCCAAAAAAAGAACAGGCTGACTTAAGGTGCAAGCCCAAACAGCAGGTCCGTGAGGCATTTTTTTTAAACATTAACTAGGTGAACAAAAAACTAACAGGCCTGGCTGGGACGTGCAAGCCCGTTCCATGACCAACAATCACCAAAAATGATGGTGGGCTTTGGGAGAGTTTAGGCCCATAATCCACACAACAACATCTTTATTTTCACATTTTTTATGAGACTTTCTAAATTCCTCTCTCAAACACGATAGCTTCCTTCTTCGATCTCACAGTGACGGATCAAACTCCACCTTCCTCTGCGATCTCAATCTTTCTGTCACGGTGCAACTCCCTTCGTATACCTCTGTCTCAACTCTCTCTCAATCTCGCATCTCTCTGTCATCTTCATCTCGTCCACAACAACGATGCTCAACCTTTGATTCTCCGTCCTCTTCATGCTCCACTCACAACATCTCCAACCTCTCTTTTGTTTCAAGCTGTCTCGCTTTCATCTCATCTCTGATTCAACCTTCCGCTTCGCTTGTCTCAAACAACTTCGTGAATTCGTGATTGCTCACCACTTTCAGATTCTATATTTAACATTCTCAAGAACGATATCATACTATGGTGACAGCAAATGCGAACGTGAAAGGGATTTGGAACTTTACCTCTCGGAGAAGTTTCGAGGACTCTTCAAAGTCAGAGATTTAGAGACAAACATTTTAATGCTCAGGTTCGCCTTGTCTTCTGATTTCAGTCCTTTTCTTCTTCTTCTCTTTCGCGATTCTGAAAAACTCTTCTGCTCGTGATTCTTCTTGCTTGCGATTCCGGTGTTTCTGTGAATTATGGAATGTTGTTCGATAAAGTTTTTATGTGATATCGTTGGTGCATGTTATGGAGCAAGTGAAGATGAAGGCGCAGTTGTTGAAGATTGAAGTTGATGAAGGTTGTTGCAGTAATGAAGGTGAAGGCTGCAATGAAGAATGATTATGGTGATGGAGTGTTCAGAGGGAGAGAGAGGATTGAAGGTGAAGGTTGTGACTTGGTCTTTTGTGCAGGACACATCACCATCTAGCTTTAAGTGAAGGAAAAAGAGCATTATCTAGCTTACTGGTATACACCTCTGCATATTGATGAATATTATAAGCAAGAGTAGATTCTTTTCCTTTGTTAATTTTTTTGTTTCCAAAATCTGAACTGAGATAGGGCTTTGGTTGTTTTGTTTTAGTTTCACCGAGAAAATCTTTTGATAAAGACATCCCCGCTCATGTGATCTTCTCAATAATCTTCAATGGTACTCTAAAGCCTCGTCCTTTCAGCTTCGAATTCTTTTTGTTTTAATCAACTGTCCTTGAGAGAACTTGCATGCATTTTGCACTCATTTTCCAATTTCTGTTTTGATCAAACCTCAAACTGGTTTTAAAATTGCAAGCAGGCCGCTTATTAAAGAGTAATGCAGATCAATTTATGAACTGTTTTTTAGCTTGAACTGAATCAATATTAATTGTTTTTTATGCATGGAAGCTTTGGCATAGTATTGATCATTGAGCTTTATTTTGTAAAGAATGGACTTGGTTTGGGTAGGAAATTGCACGGTTGTCTTAAAAGAGCCTTGGCAAAGAAGATGAAGATCATGTCTTAGGCTTAGAAACAAGATTTTTTTGTGTAGTTTTGATGTATGTGAATTGGTATTATGTTTTTGAAGCACATTTGTAGGGACAAACTTATGATTGGATCTTTTTTTCTCTATTTGATGCAGGGTTGTTTCAACATATTTCAGAGCAAAGTCGAAATGCCAAACAAGGCATTCGTGTTAGCTTTAGAACGAATTAGTCCATGGAAAGCAAGGTGTTCGGATTGGATTTCTGGACTGGTTTAGCTCAAGCTCTGCATTTGGAGATTCTTCATTCCGCCTTTTCGAATTAATTTCTTCTGCCTTTATTGTGAACCGATACTGGCCTTTTATTTCTTTTTCTTGTGCAGGTTTTAAGACAGATTGCAATGTTTTGAAACAGGGCAGGGTTGATTGTTTTGCGCCGGATATGGTTTAAAATGATGTAGTGCAGGGGCTGTTCTGAATTCAGAAAGCTATGAGCCATCTGAAGGATTCATGTCGGAAATTTCATGAAGATGGAGCAACACCAAATTACTTGACTTGCTATAGCCATTTTGTATACATTTTGATTTTTTGAATGATGATGATGATATTAGTTTGTAACTGAATTTGACTATTATCTTGGATGAATGTTGATTGTAATTAATTTTTTTTTACAGTTTGAAAATGAATTAAGATGAAACAATGACCCCTTAAGATTATGAGCTTGAACTAATCAACTTTGTTGATGGACGATGATTCAAAACTAGTGTGATCTTAAATAATGCTTGAAATGATGAAAGCCCCATGAACTGTCCATCTAGCTTGACTTAATTCGAGAACAAAATATGCACCATGGCCCGTGTGCATTCTAGAGTCAATATTTCATGAGATCATGAAATAAATACATGTCATCTGACTGACGAAACCTAGTCTCATATTAAATCACAAATTTCTAGAAGGAACCAAGTTCCTTTTGAAAATGCGAGATAAATGAGCTCTTCACCCATAGCTCAACAAGACATATCTTGACTTGATGAAAACTTAAGGCAATCCTTAATCAATTGACAAGTAATGTCACAAGATATAAATCTCTTGATTAAATCGTCAAAACTTATTGAAAGGAAAGCCTTGTAGATAAAGCTATTGAGAGAAACCCTAAATGTTGATGACGAACTTCCAATGAGGATAGGATGGTGATCCTTGTAGCCTTGATGAGAAAACCAAGTCAAAATAAGAATCATTGCCGAATAACCAACACCAATGCTCAGGTACGACGAAAACCATAATCCTTCTGCTCTAGGTGCCCGTTGATGAGGAGATGACTTGAGGTATTGAGAGGAATAAAAACCCTGGCTTCAGACCATTCTTAATGAAGACATAATGAAATCTTGAGCACACGGTAAAACCTAAAGCACTTTTCCCGAAGAAATTCTGATGAAGACAACCTTATATCTCTAGGAACCCTGATAGCAAAGACGTATATGATGCTTGTGATCCAAAACCATGGTCTCATACCAAGAATGATGAGAGCACTAGTTGAATCAACTTTGAGTAAGGTAGCGACCTTATTCCATAGAGAAAAACCCTAATGCCAAAATTGAAGTATAACATTACCCCTTTTGACCCCTAATATGGTCTTCCACTATTGTCCTCACTTATTCTTTCCAAATGACTATCTTGCCCTTATCATCACCAACACCAATATTACTCTATTTTCTAATTAAAATCATTCTAACTAATTATTCTAATTCGTCCAAAATCCTCTTAATCATCTTAATTCCCACTACACCACACAAATCATCACATAACCATCACAATCATCAAAACATCATTATTGCATCACAAATACACCACGAATACACATCATAAATCATCACAAAGACTCAAATAAAAACACCAAAACATCATATATATATATATATATATATATATATATATATATATATATATATATATATATATATATATATATATATATATATATATATATATATATATATATATATATATATATATATATATATATATATATATATATATATATATATATATATATATATATATATATATATCAAATATTTCACAATGAATCATATATTCATTGTAAATTAATTAAATATAATTAATCTAGAATTTAAGGTGTTACCAAATCAGTCTACCTTAAGCCCAAGATATATTTTTTTAAAGAATCTTCCTTGTTTTTTTGTTTGGTATCTGGGCCTACTGATTTATGTTCTTCTAAGCCCATTCATCCAGATTACTCAACTTACACCCCCATTTTCTTTTTGTTCTATTTCTTTTATTTTTTTATTCTTGATCTTTATTAATTGTTAACATTAATTAATTTTGATAATAAATTTTATTTAGTTTAGTTAATTTTAATTAACTAATTTTATTAAATATTTTTTTATTAACTTAATTAATTTTAATATATTAATCACATAATTGTTGGTTGTAATATCTCTTGATCCTTCTATTTTTCTTGCGATTAAATCAAAGGGAAGGGATTATTTCATTGACTTTATGTCATTGTGTGTCTACTACATGTTTATTTTATTTATCTATCCTATTTGTTTTTCTTTAGTTAAAACCTTATTTTCAAACTTAAACTCTTTTAAGCCAAAATCTCGACATTAGGTCATTGTATTTTTAAAATTTTCTTAAACCATACTCTTTTAGCAAACAATAATTCTTTATCCAAAATACACAAACATTTCAAGAGGTTCCTGTAGAGTACTACAAATGTTTTGGGTTCTAACACCTTCCATTTGCATAACCAACCCCCGTACCTTAGACCTCTTTAAATTCATTGTTCTTGTTTTACTTTTAGTGTTGTTTTTACTTTGCATATTTATATTGGGTTTTTATTCTCTCTTTTTCTCATTCTCTTGGAAATAATAAAGTGCGATGGCGACTTTCACTGTAATGAGTCAAGTAAATAAATGGCTTTGGTATCAAAATTTTCACGACTACAGAAATGGCGACTTCACTGGGGATCAAATCTCTAAATGGGTTAAGTCTAACTTGTTATATCTGTGTTTATGTTATTATTATTTGTTTATTATTTCCTGTTTGTTGGGTGTTGGTGATTTTTGCAAGGACAAGTCCTATACTCGGACTAAGTACACTTAAGTTTAGGATGGGCGATACAATCATGTTGGCTTACTAGGAGTGAGTCCTTACTAAGCTGACATGAGATCCCCCATTCAGTGGAGGCCTCCTTGGGGTAATAGTGTTGAACGAGTTAATCGTGAAAGCATTATTATTTAGACCTGAGAGCCCATGAAATTGAGCTACCATAGAATCCTAAATCCATCTTTGGTCTTGTAGGATGTAGTGCAGAGACTATCCAGGAGTTAATTCTGGTATAGTTGTTACGTGATACTGCACTCAGACGAGTTTTTCCTGTGAATATTACTAATTACTGAGTAAATTGGGACGTTGGTAATATCTAAAGGAAGAGCACATACTCTGGGTTTTCTTAGAACCTTGATTTACAAGTGATTGAACCATTAGTCCATACCTTGTGGATAGTACCTTTGACTTCATACTAGTAATGTTGAACTTATGAACCCTTTTTATTTGTGATCTTGATTACGGTTGTTGTATAACCATGCACTCATGCATTCATGAAACTCTTTTTCACTTGTATTTCAAGGAATTTATAGGCCTTTCTTTGTAAAAATCATAAATTATTTCATCAAACTCAATGGATCTTAGGTGTTGATGGGGTGAAAATTCTAATCCACCAAAATAGATGATTGACTTTAATGATGACTTGATCAATGATTTGATCCAATTTAGGATTTACTTTCTTCATGCTTTGATGTTTACAATTTAATATCTTGAGTTATTTGAAAGTCAAATAAAAACCAACATTTACATCCTTTGCATAATTCACGCATACATCAAGGTTGTCCAAGATCTCATTTCCAGCTGTCTCTTTCTTTCAGTTATTAGTCAACCATTAAATTGTTTTCTCAACACAACTATAGAACTAGAGCTAAAATCAAACGAAGAATGGCAGACCAAGAACAACATAAAATGGAAGTCAGAATGGAAATTGATGAGTTGAAGTCGGGCATGACCAAACTCACTGAGATGATACAAGTTCTAATTACTATAGGAGAACCACCTCAGAGGACTGTCATCTCTGAGATTGCAACTACTGATGTTGATCCTCCAATAATCCATCAACCATGCACTACATGGCCAGAGTTCGATATGCCTCCGAACTTTTCTCCATCTTTTGTCACTACTTCAATGGTTGGCTAATCATCTCGACCAATGTTTCAGGCTTCAGTTTTCACTGAACCGCAACCAATCATTCATACTATTTCTCCTCAATCTGGGGTGTGTCCTATTGCACAATCTCCTTACGAGAATCCTCTCTTTGATTATCATTTTGCTGCTAGTCCAGAAGATCCTGCTGATTTTGAAGAAGTCGGGGAAGATTTTCAAACTTCAGAAAAGAGAATGAGGGCCATGAAAGGAAATGAGTTCTTCAGTGTTGATGCTGGTAACTGTAGTGGTAGAAATGTTTAAAACTAAGCCATGAGATTGACTAGACTTGTACAAATCAAAATAAAATCGCCACTGTGCTTTATTATTTCCAAAGGAATGGGAAAAGAGCGAATAACCAAAAAAGAGGGGGAAAGATTCAAGGTAAGGGGGTTGGTTATGTAAAGGGAAGGTATTAGCACCCTAAACATCTGCGGTACTCCACAAGAACCTCTTTGTAAAATTTGTATATTTTGGCCATAAAATGTTATGTAAAAAATGGATGGTGGAGGTTAGAAAAGAAATATATATTTTTATGGTTTTTGCACCCGCCGCGGTTGCGAATCTTTAGTGCCTACGTACCACCTTTTTGTGCAACAGGGGATCAGGGTACACGTAGTTCCTCCTTAAAAAATTTAAAACACAAATGTGTTGGTTAATTTTTATGAGATAAAACATCATCGTCATTGTCCGTGTGGAAAACATACCTACTACCCACAATCATGAGAAAGGAGAATTTGCATCATCTCAAAGTGGAGGATATGACTTGTATTTTAAAATCAACAATGTCTCACTCAACACCCAAGTGAAAAATATCTCTCTTTACTACATATTGTAGAAGTATAGTTGTTTGCATCACTACAAGGATTGACAAGAGTCCAATCTTTTGAGAAAAATTTTTAAAGTAAAAAAGCCAAAGTGACAAAATGGCTTGAAATGAGATTGATTGACTTTTAGTCTTCCCATAAAAAATGCCAAAGTATTATTAAGTTGATTGAAGTTTATTTATGAAAATATTTTGAAAATGTATGGACATAAGTCCAAGTTTATTATGAAAGCGCTTCAAGTTAAAAAAAAAAAACAAGAAGAGTTTTCAAAAGGAGGGAGACGATTTTTTAAATTAAAGAAGATG